GGGAGCCCAGCGGGGAAAGGACCTGTGAGCGCTAAGGGGCAGGACACTCCGGCTGACGCTCTGCTCCCCACACCACACCACCCAGGTCACCCCCTGCCAGAGCTGAGTCCCTCGACGACCCCCCCCCCCTCCCACCGCAGCTCAGTGAGCCGGGACTCCGGGGTGGGGGTGGGGCGCAGGGCGGCTGCCCACCGGCGGGCTCACCGCGGAAAAGCTCAGCTTCTGGGTGATCTCCCGGTAGTCCTCGTTCCGCTCCTTGACCTGGGACTGCCCGGCCGTCAGGTGGCTGCAGATGAAGCAGAAGCTGGTGCTGTGGAGCTGAAAGCGGATGCCCACGGCGCCCTTGTTGCCGGCCTTTCCGCCCATGCCGGTCTTCACCGTGTCCACAGCCACGTCCCTGTAACAGAGGGCACAGGGAGACAGCTCAGCGCCGAGAAGGGAACGCGGAAGCCATGGAGAGGCAGAGCAGGGAGGGGGCAGCAGGGGCTTTGGCTCTGAGGACCCAAAACCTGGGCTCAGGGCTGGTCACTCCTGGCTAGAAGCAGGGGGCATCGGTCGTGTGCGGGCCTGCCGGACTGTGCCTGTGCCTGTGCCTGAGCCGAGGCCCAGGCCAGACCAGGTGGGGGGCACTGGGCCAGCGGAAGGCAGGCCAGGGCACAGGTGTCCACCCTGGAGACCAAGTGGCTCAGGTGCTCTTGCTCGCCGTTCACCTGTACCGTCCACTGCGCTGACCTTCGCCCTGCCCCTCCCTCCACTCTGCCCACTCCGCACATGGCCCCAGTGCCCGGACGTGACGTGACGGCTCCCCTGGAGTTCTGGAAGCGGGTGGCAAGCACACAACACTCTTTCCCACCAAGTGCTGCCCGGGTGCTGCTGGGGTCCCCTGAAGACTTGGGGGTGCTCCCTGGGCTTGGGAGACCCATCGGACAGTGAGAAAGTCTAGTGACTGAGTGTGAGCTGGGGGCAACAGGGGCCGGTGTCGGAGGGGAGGGAGCGTGCAAGCCTAACACATGGTGTCCGCACTCCCACCACGGGGCACGGGTGCTGGGCAGACACACACGTGCACACCGAGCACACACGGGCACGGACACGCACTCACCAGGCACACGCAATGCGCTCACGCACACGCCCGCTGCGTCACGCTGCCACTCACACGCACCCACACAGACACACAGTCCCTTTCCGAAAAGGACACGCCCTGCTAAGGGGTCCCCTTCTGGCACTCACAAAGCTGCCACTTAGGAGACATAATTATGGGGTGTCAGGGTAGAGGCTTTCTGCCCACAAATCTTTGGGTTCTTTTAAAAAGGGACAAAAGACTTGGCATTTCCTGGTGAATGACTCAGCGTTGGTCAGAAGTTTCCGGTCTAAAATTTCAGTCCCTCTCCGTGAGCAAAAGCGCGCATGACTCCGGCTGCCAGAGCGGGGAACGGGCGCCCGCGCCAAGCCCCTGGGGCCCCGGCCCGCTCCGCTTCCCGGGGGGAGCCCGCGGCCTCACCTGATGAAGGGCACGTGGTAGGGCCGCACGAAGATGAACAGACAGACGCCCACCAGCTGCGCCGAGGTCAGCAGGATGTAGCGGTGGGAGCGGGAGATGGCTTTCTGGAGCTGCTCGCCCCACATCTTCCTGTTGGTGGTGCTGGGTGGAGGCCAGAGGGGCGTGTGGGGGAGGGGTGCCCGCCCGCTGCCTGGCCCATTCCCGCCCTCCTGCCACCTGCTGGCGCGCCGCTTAGGGCCGGGGACTGGCACAGGGCGGCCCCAGCCCCGGGTGTGTCTCCCAGAGACGCCGCCGCCCCCCAGGAGACATGAGCCTCCATGACACGGCGCTGTAAAGCAACAGCCTGCAAGAGAAACTGCTTGCTGATCGCAAATCCTTTTAAACACACACACACAATGCTACAGAGTGGGTTTCGGCATCTGCATGGCAGTGCCCACCCGCCTGGCACCACCTGCCGGCCCCTCTGCTTTTCTATTCGGAACTCCTCGAATGAAAACCAAGTTTCGGAAAGAAAAAGTTCCGTCACTTTGGCCAAAGGTCACCGGAGGCTTCTTTGCCCTGAGCTTGGAGACGCACCTGCTCCCGGTGCTCGGCTTTGTGCCAGCCCCCAGCCCCCCTCGGGCTCACATCAGCACCCCAGCTCCGGGAGCATTCAGGAGGGCAGTGAGGCCGCCCTTCTGCCAGGGCCTCCTCAGCACAGAAAGGAAGCAGAGACAGGAGGGGACAGCCAGAGCCCCCCCACCAGCCAGGCTAGATTCAGGGGGGACTCAGGACAGCTCGAGGGTCCCGGGGTACTGCACCCCACTCCCTGGCACTTACCTGGCATTGACTATATTTCCTGCACTCAGCTCCACCATCTCTTCAAACCCCACGGCAAATATGTCAGCCGGGCTGCTGTCATCTGGGGGGAAGGCAGGAGGGTGCTCCTCAGTGCCGCCCAGCCCTGCCGGCTGGTGGGGGCCAGGTAACCCCCCCAGGGGGCCGGAGGACAGGCCAGGAACGTGGCCCTGCCGGCCGGCACTGATGAAATCGGCTGGCGCTGGCCGGCAGGGGCAGGGAGCCCGGCGGCGGGGGCTCAGCTCTCCTGCCCCTTTCTGGGGAGTCAGGACCCGGCCCCACCCCAGCCCAGCGTGGCTCCAGGTGCTGCAGAAAGCGACTCCCTCCTGCCTGGAGGAAACCGGAGGCCTCCCCAAGGTTCTGTTTTCTTTTTTCTAAAGAAAAAACACCTGCTGCCCGATGGACCTTCGTGACAGCAGTACCACAGGGTGTGTTTCGCGGACTCGAGCTGCAGACTGGATGTCTCGCCGTGAGCCGCACCCTTAACACCCCTGCCACCAGCCCCCTGCAGACACGGCCAGGCCACCCCAATCCCGCAGGCGGGGAGCCCACGTTTCCAGCCAAGTGTCAAGTGGACCGAATGTTCTCAGGGCTCACAGGGCCCGTTCCGGGCTGGAAGGCCACCACACACATGAAGAAACCGGGGGCCCCAACTGGCCCAAGCGAGCCTGAGGCAGCAAGGGGTACACCCCCCGCCCCCCAGCAGCAGGGGGCTGTGACAGTGCAGGGCACAGAGGGCAGGCTGCAGCACGACACGGACCCCACAGCAGCCGGCCAAGAGGAGGTTCGCAATCTCTTTTCGATCAAAACGCGTGAGCCTGACGGGGTGCAGAAATGCCAATGGGGAGCACACCGTCCTGCAGCCCGGGGGTTCCGACGCATTACGTCAAATGACAGAACCACGGGTGGCCCTTAATTTGCTCTCGGAATGATGGACGCGCTCGGATGTGCGCAGCGTGGCTCAGCGGCTCCGGTCCTCTGAGCAGAGGCTCCGGCAGGCCCTGGGCCCGCGGGACGGAGGCACCGGTCCCGCTGACCTCCCACGCGCCCTGGCCGCCAGCCCAGCCCGCCTCGCTCTGGGCAGCGCCCCCTTCATCCCCGGCTGGAGCCCCAGCCCGCCATCCCCGAGCAACGCGACATGCTGGGGTGTCCGGGAAGTCAGGACAGCGCACCCCACACGCCGGGGCGTGGGACCCGCCGCCGGCCCGCAGCGCCCGCCGCTCACCAGGGCACTCCGGCATGCCCACCAGCCGGGGAGCGTCCAGCAGCCAGTCCGTGAGCTCCGCCGTGCCCAGCAGATTGCTGCGGAACTGCTTCCCCCCGTTCACGTTCCAGGTGCCCGTGGCCACGCGGACCCGTCTGAGGTTTGTGAACTCCGCCTGGCGCTCCAGCATGGCTCTCAGGATCCGGGGGTTCACTGGGAGGAGACGGGAAGGGCATGTCTGGCTGGGCCTGGGCCAGGCCCCAGCACCGGCTGCCTGTTAGGGACCCTGGGACCCTCACGTCCCCCGGTGTGTGCGCCAGCACGCGGTGAAAAACGCAGGACCTGACCCGGGCTGCTGAGGTCACAGGGAGCCCCCAGTCAAGGAGGGGACACTACCCGCAACGCCCCAATTTAAGAATGCACGCGAGATGTATACGTGACCCGTAACTGTAGCAGGCAGATGAGCTTATGCACGGAATCCATGCCTGCTGGGATCCTGACTTATAAGAAACTCAGTTTGGTGTTCCACGAACGTGACTGGCCTTCCAGGCCCTGCCCGCCTGAGCGTGAGGGGGCGGAGGGGCCGGCGGGCAGGTCTGGCCGGCCACCCTTGGGCTCAGCCCTCCTACCTCTGCCCCGAGGCCGCCAGGAAAGCCCAAAGGCCATAAAGCCCAAAGGACAGCGTTTGGGGGGTGGCTGGGCTGCTGATCACGCCGAGGTGCAGAGAGAGAGCAGCCCACCTGGGGGGCAGGGGAGCCCCCGCCCCTTCCACAGACCTTGCCCTGCGTCACTTCCACCTGCCGGCTCCTGGCCTAACTCTTTCATAGTAGTTGGCGACGCAGTAAGAAAGTACCCCGAGCTGGGTGAGTCGCTCTAGCAAGTTCATCTCACTGGGGCTTTGGGGGTGTATGGGGGGGCAGGAACCTGCCATATATAGTGGGGCAGAGGCCAGTGGCCACAGGCTGGGCTCCGGGCGGGCATGGAGGCTGCTAGCTGTGACAGCCCTTCACCTCGGGCCCTGATGCTACGCCTGGGGGACAATGTCAGGATGGGGGACCCCAGCTGGAGCTGCAGGGTTGTGGGGAAGCCCCACACCTGGAACTGAGCACCGACCTGCCTTTGCGTTTTCCACCGGCCATTTTCAGCCAGATCCACCATCTAGAAACCCCAAATCCATGCTCCTGCCTGAGTAGCGACTTCAGCCAACTCCCCAGCCCATCACCGGCCTCGACTAAGACTTACTCGTCCCAGCTGCCCTCAGCTCTGACCAAGCTGGGCTCAGTTCCAGGGTGGACAAAAATAGCACCTCTTACTAGAAGCCGGTCAGGAGTTCCCGGCTGGTGCCAGAAAGGGCTACGAACCCATAGGAAAGGGCTGTGCACAATGAATTTTTCAAAACTTTCTAAACAAAACTTATACATTCTCGTAAAAAAATGCTACACCTTCCCTTCTCCGTGAGCTCTGTAACGTCCACACACTTCAGGCTGTTGAAAACAACCCTAGCCACTCCCCGCCTCACCCCCGGCAAAACACACCCCAAACTCATAGATGCAGATCAGGGATGGGGATGCCAGAGGCAACCATGACCCCCAGCTAAGGGTGAGTGCTGGGGACGGGAGGGTGGCAGGGGCCAGCCGACCACACCGGGGTGCTTGCTGGACAGCTGCCGAGAGAAGGTTCCGGAACATCCTCAGAAAGCTCAGAGCAGCGGGAAGCTCTGGGAGGGTCACGGCCATAGCTGCTGCCTCGGGTCCCCGCAGGCTCAGAGAGGGCTCGTAGGCTCTGGACCCCAATGGCGGGGGAGGCTGCGTGCCAGCCCCAGCTCTGGGAGCACCCACCGGTCACTCCCACAGAGGGGCGGCCAGTCCTGCCGCCTGCGGGGTCCTCACCCAGCACAGGACCCCGGGGTGCCCTTGAGACATGCACCAGCCACTGGCCCTGTCCTCCTCCTGGTCACTCGGCTGGTGGCCTGAGCCCCCTGCTTTAACCTTCAGGCCAGAGGCCAGCCACCCCCAGCGCCACGCCCGCAGCCTCCGGCAATCCTGACCTGCTAACCCCAGCAAGCAGCAAGGCTTCCCTTTCCCTGGCCGCCCCCGGCCTCTCCCACTCAGCCCATGGCTTTCCGCCTCCAGGACCCGTGAGCAAAATCCTCTTCGCCGAGCGTCTCTTCTGCCTCAGTCCACGGCCACCATGACCGCTCAGCTCGCAGGACGGCCGGTCAGCCCCAGAGCGCGGAGGTGAGGGCGAGACCGGGGAGGGTGTGGCCTGCCCCCGCACCCCAGAATTGGTGTCGGGGAGCCCTCACCCCGCAGAGCCGTGTTGTCCAGCAGCATCCTGCCCTTGTCAGTGAACTCCTCGCTGCGCACGTCCCCCACCAGCAGCAGCTTGATGGCCTCCTGCTTCACGCCGTCGAAGAAGTTGGATTGGATCGTGCGGGACACGGACCGGGCCCCGTCCTTGAGCTTCCCCACCTGCAGAGCCAGGGGGAGGCGGTGAGGATCAGCCGAGCAGGCTGCCCAGCCTGGCCCGGCCCCGCCCCGCCCCGGCCACCCCACCTTGGCCTTCCCCTCCAGGGCCCGGCTGCCCGTGAACATCTTGCTCAGACTGTGCCCGTTCAGAGACCACATGGCTTTGAAGGACTCCACGAAGCGGTCAGCGATGGACTTCGAATTCAGCCCCAGGCTCTCGAGCTGGAGGTGAAGGACCTGGTGACAGAAACAGTTGTCACCAACTTCTTGCCAGAAGCCCCGTCCCTCCCTGGTCTCCTGGGGTGACAGCGGCCCCTGCCGGCGGGGGTCTGGTCGGCATCTGCGGGTCACCCTGTACCCTGTGGCAACCCTTGCAGCGCAGAACGGGGCTCCCACCAAGCGCACCCCAACTCTAGCTAGCTTCGTCCTCACACGGCTTCCTCGGCGCCTCACTCCTCTGAGCCTCACCCCTCCCAGTCAACCAGGAGGCTGACCAGGCGGCGGCCCGACAGGCAGTGGGCCACGCAGACCCCAGGTCTCCCCCAGGCGGAGTCCAGCCTCACCCTGCTTTTGCCCAGCGCACTCACAATACCCACCCCCAGAACTGCTATTTCTCACGCGGCCCTGTCACCCTGAGGCACCATGCTGGGGTGAGCGCCGGAGGGTGGGAGGACAAGCGTGTGTCCAACAGGCTGAAGGCAACCGGAGGCAGGGGCAAGCCAGTCGCCAGGGAAACCCGCTGCCCCTGCTTAGACAGCGCCCACCCCTGCAGTCGAGGGCCCCGGGGGCCCCGGGGCGGGCGGGACGGACCTCGAGGGCGATGAAGCTCTGCACTGTGTTGGTTCGGTCCAGGCAGTCCAGACAGTTCATCCGCAGAGTGCCTTTCTGGAAGCTTCGGAAAGCAATGCCGGGCAGTTAGCAGTGGACACTCTGGGCTGCGGGTGGGGCCCCGGCGGCCGGCCCTGCGTGCCCATTGCCGATCAACGCCACCTCGCACACGGACTTCGGTTTAACGCCACCTCATTGACCTCCCCCTGGACGCGCTGACGGCCCACACAGGCGGGGCACGGAGGGGCTGGTGACACTAGTCTGGGGCGGGGCTGCCTCCTGGCCCCCCCCCCCCAGCGGGACACACCTGTCGGCCAGCTCGGCTCACGGCCGTGCGGAGCTCACCTGGGAACCACACAGCCACACCCCACCAGCACGGACGTGGAGCCCTAAGAAGTTGCCCTCCACCTCCTCAGCTGAGTAGGGTGGCCACACCCCCATTCTCTTGGGCCGTGGGGTGCAGGCCAACTGCCCCTTCGCTCTCGGGGTTAGATGAAAAGACACACAGTCAGTCACCCGACGCCGTGGTGACTCGGTCCTCTCGGGCAGATTTTTTGGGCCAGAAAGTCCCGCTTTACACGTACAGACGCAAGATTCCAAAGCACGCGTGGCCGTGGACGGTCCCGAGGTGCCCGCCGTGAGCCGTGGCGGGCGGGCAGACTCACCGTGGACTCACATGCTCGCCCTTCGCGAAGACGTCAAAGTCATCCCAGTGCAGCTGCAACTGGGGCCGCAGCAGGTTCTCCAATTTCTCTAGCTTCCCGCCTTTGGCGAACTGATGGAAGTCAAAGTTTATCATAGGCGTGTCGCTGGCGTGGCAAGAAGCCCAGAGCAGCTTCTGGAAGCGAAAGGGAGACGGTGGCAGGCCCAGCAGGAAGGGAGGGCGAGAACCCTTCCAGCAGGAGCCCCGGGGGGAGCCGTGGTGCCCGCTGGAACACGGGGTCTGACTGCAAGCTGGGGACACCTGGCAGCTGCTCAGACCCGACCCTGAGAGGGAAGCCTGCGCGCATCTTGCCTGCGGAAGGGGAGAAGGTCCAGGCCATGCAAAGGACACGCCAGAGCAGGGGAGGCTCCCTGGGCAGCCCACGGCCCAGCGTGGACATCACCTTCCGCAGAGCAGTCGGAGGGCACAGGTGGGGAAGGCCTGCTCTGTTCTTTGGGCACCCGAGTGCCGCCAGCCCGTCAGGGGTAGAGCAGGGCGGCCACCGGCTGGGGAGCTCATAATCCAGCCACCGTTGCCCTGGCAACGTGCCATCCTGGTGCCTGTCTCTGGGTGGCAGTGCTTGGCCTGCCCAGCCCCAGCCCCGGTGCTCTGGACTGTCCCCTGGAGTGCAGGACGCTCGGCCACACCCAGGGTCGGGGCCAGCGGGCCAGCCTGGCCCCGGCATGTGAGGACTGTGGGGTGCTCCTCACAGAGACACCCCTTCCAGAGTGGGGGCGGGGGCCAACTCTCACTCTCCCCAGAAAGCCCTGCGGGAAGGTGAAGGGCAGCCTCTGGCCAGGCCTGTTCCACAGGCCGCCGTGGCTTCAGGCCAGACCTGTCCAGACAATATGGGCTGAGAGAGGGGCTGGAAAGACATGGCTGTGAGGGCGATGCTGGAGCCAAATCACGAGAAAGAAACTGTGAGGAGACAGGTGTGGCTGGGTGGCCTTCCTCAGGGGTGACACCCCGCCACTCTGGGTAGGGTGTCCTCTTGCCCCACCTTCCCCGGGCCTCTGTCCCTAGCCCCGGGGGCCGCACCATCTGCTGCCCTCCTTGCCCAGGGGCCCACCGGCCCACGGGGCGCTGAGATAGCCGTTCCCCATTAGCCAGGAGGAGAGGGAAGAGATTCTTGGATTTTCTTCTGCTGCTTCCTTAAAATAAGCTGCCTGCATTTTGCCAAAGTGGGTGGGAGGGAGATACTTCCTTAGCTTGTTGCTAATAGCAACAAACCAAACAGGAAAAGCAGGTCTGGCCAAATAAAACAGCAGCCAGACATGCTCCAGGCATGTGGCTCTCTGAACAGCCACAAGAGCATCCGCTGCGCTGGGCAGCGCTGGCCAGGGGTCAGGGCCGGCCTGGGTCGGGGCCACTGGGCGCTCCAGAGGCGGCGGCCCGGCAGAGGGACAGCTGACTTCGCTGCCTCTGTAGCTGCGTCCCAGAGCTCCCAACCACCAGAGGGCTGTTCTTCAAGGAGGAGGGCGGAGGCAGAAGGAGGAGAGGCGCCCACAGCTCCTTCTGGCGCTTTCTCCCAGCAGACTGAACGGACACACGGTACTGGGAACAGGAGGGCCCCAGAGGAGCCTCCAGGCAGGTGCTGCCTCGGTTGGTGGCTTCCTCCAGGTCTTCTCCTCCCGACCTCCCGCAGTGAGGCTGCAGGGGGCTTGACGGAGGGGCGCGGGGGCCGGCGGGGGGCAGCTCCCACGCGAGGATGCGAGCTTCGAAGACTCCAAGTTGGCAGGAGGAAATCATGCAAAGCTCCTGGCTTTAACCAGTCCGCTACGTCCTCCCCCCAGTCCAAGCACAGCAGCCCTGTGTGAGTTTGGGGGGGCTGCCAGGCCGGGCGAGCCAGACCGAGGAAGGAAGGGGGAGCTTGGACTCCCTGGGCTGGCACAGGCAAAGCTCACACACGTGTGTCTGCGCGTCTGTTCCCACCCCAGGCGGGAGGATGGGGCCATCCTGGTGTTTTGGGGCCCCCTAAAAACACCTCTGGAGATGAGAGGTGCTTCGTTTGGGTTTGAGCAAATCTTCCCACGAGTGCATGAGGACTGGTCTTCGCACTTCAGCAGCCCCAGCCGGTGAGGGAGCACTGGTGGGAAAACGCCCGAACGAGGGGGAGCGGCTTCTGCTTCAGGGTGTCCCCCCCCCCCCGAGTGCAGCCCTTACCTTGAAGGCTCTGTTGAGCACCTCCTCTCCACCTCTGCTCCCCAGCAGGTTCACCACCACTTGCTTCCCATACTGCTCCTTCAGAAGCACCATATGCCTGCAACGGGCAGGGGGGGGGCAGGGCGTGACGCCCGGGCTGGGGGCGCAGGGGGAGCGGGGTGCAGGGCGCCCTGAAGGCCAGGTACCACCGAGCAGGTGCAGAAGGGCCTTTGCAGGACTCGAGGCCTGTGAAGGACTCCCCAGAACCCTCGCCCTGGGGAGGGGGAAAACCAGCCTGGGGGCCACGCACTGCTCACCAGCCTGTCTGCAAGGCGCCTTCCCGAAAGGCCTGTCAGCCCGCAGGGCAGGCACCCCGGGCACCTAGCAACCAGCGCCACCGCTCCCCACAGGCACCCCGCCGCCTCAGGCCCCGCGGGGACAGGGCTGATCCCACTCGGGACCTTCTCAAGTCCAGAAATGCCAGTGCGAGATCCGGCGACCTCGGGGCCCAAGTTCTCACCGACAGCCTTATACTTAACCCCAACGGGAAGGCACCAGAAAAAGTCTGGCTCTAGGAAACAGTCGTGGATCAAGACTAGTGTTAAACGTCGAAATGTTGGAACAGACTCTTGTATCCTTTATCCTTGGCTCTTGAAAGGTAATTTTACAATTTGAATAATGTTAGAAATATTTAAATGTAATTTTGCAAAATTGGGCAAGACACAAAGCACAGGCATGGAACTGTAATTTAAGTGTGATCTTTATGCCATCAGAAAAAAAGGCTAGAAGATAATACTACTCTGTGATATCAGAAGTGATGGCGTTTTATGGGACTGAAAATTCTTTTCTCCATCTACGGCCATAGCACCCTGAATGCGCCCGATCAAAATTCTTTTCTCCTTTGAGTGCTTTTGTATTATAAATTTCTTTTTTTTTTTTTAAGATTTATTTATGCAAACAGAACTGGGGGCACAGGCCAGAGGTGCAGGGGGTTGAGAGGATTCCCCAGAGACAGAGCGGGGAGCAGAACAGGTGGATGTACTGAAAATACACTGCTGAGGGGAGACAGGATCGCTCTGCCACGCCATGTGGGTCCCTCCCTGGCCGGGATCGAATTCTTGCTGCAGGGCTGCGACAGCTTCCTCGTGCTGTGCTTTAACCCGTTGCGCCACCAGGGAGGGCCTATTTTCTAAATTTTTACAATGACATTTCTTTTGTAGATACACTGCAAAATTTTCTGAGCAGCCCTCCACCCGCTCACAGGTAGAAGGGCAGAGCCACCCTCTCGGGCTCCAGCCCGTCTGCAGGAACCTGCGACATGAAGGTAAAGTCAATCTCTTCACACTCATGGTGCCCAAGGAGCCAGATGAGGAAGCTTTAACGGCGGGCACCCAGGCCGTGCATCTCTGCAAGGTGTGCCTCAGAGGGGAGCGATGGCCGGCAGTGCTCCTGCAAAGCTCTCCTCCGCCTCAGCACAGCTTTAGGTCAGGACAGCTCGGAAGCGAAGCCTCTCCTGAGGAGAGTCCGTCATTCCTGACTCTGAACGAGTCACTGTTCTTACCTATATAAACCCCTTCCTGCTTGTCTTATTGAAGCAGCTCTCACAGTGTAAAACCCCTTAGACTCTTACCGGGGTTTGCAACCCCACCGTGACTATCTGAACCTCTGCCTAATTATTACGGAGACTTATTTTCAGTGAACACTTCTACACAACTTTGTTAAGGGGTCTGCTTCAGCGGGAGTCTGTCACAGAGTGAGTACTTCCGGCTTGGGGGTGAAGTGTGGTGACCCACTGTGGCCCTGGACCAGCCACCCCCGCAGCACAGTCTCTCAGAAAGGAGGCTGACGTCTGAGCGTCTGTGCCTGATGCCGGCACTTGCCTCTCAACGGGGTCCAGATTCCAAAGCGGGGAGAGAAGCGAGTGACTCACTGGTGACTCACCGGCCCCAAAGACCCCAAAGAGCTAGTTCCTTCTCCTGCACCACGTGGCCAATCCTGCAACTGGCCATGAGGACTGAAAAGACAGGAGCAGTGGCCAGCGCAGCCCCTGGCCCTGGGAGCTGATTTTCTTCCCGTTTAAAAATAAGGTAGCGCCTCCCTAGGGTGGCGCTAACGGGGGTTAGGGTGCAGCACTGTGTGCTGCTGCAGCGCACGTTTGACCCCCGGCCAGGGAGTGACCCCAGGGTACAGCAGACCCCTCCTGTCTCCATGCTGTTCCCCTCCGTGTGCTTCAGTAGGATCTGCCTGTTGTCTGCCCCACTCTGTTTCTGGTGAGCCCCCTCACCCCCTGCCCCTCTGTTCTTCTATATAAAAATA